GGGCAGTATCCACCCACAAATAGAGAAAGCTGCTGCAGTTCATCCCACAAGCGTTCTTGGAATTTGCTTGCTACAGTTTTAAAAAAGGTCAGACAGAAGGTGCTCAAAAAAGACTTATGCTGTGAACACTGACTGTTTTAACAGGGCAGCCAACTCTGCCTTGTGACGGACAGCTGGGAAATGTAGCTACTGAGAGACTGACTTGTATCTGCATTTAAGTACTTGTGTTTCATGCAAGCACAAAAATTGTACAACAGGAATTTAGGGGATGGAGCAGCTGCATTATGAGGAGAGATTTCTTTCTTTAATTTGGAGACATGCAGGCTCAGAGGGATACAATTGAGAATTACAAAATCATGAAGGGAGTCAAGAACACGAGAGCAGGACTTACTCACCAAACCTTGCAACACTAGAACTATGGGCTCTCACTCAAACTGTGTGAAAGATAGGTTTCAAACAAACAAAAGCAATAATTTTATTTTGCAAACATAGCTGCAGTGAAATTCAGGTGATGTGAGACTGAGGAGACCAATAATATCAGCAGGCTACACAAAAAGTGCAGGCTATAAAAAGAGAACTTATTTATGGACAGCTGTTCCAAAACAGGTACAGGAATGGCCACAAGTGTACCTCCCAGAGATCTTAATCCAGTGACTTTGGATTCTAGGGCAGAATGAGAGGGATGTACAACATGAATGGCCAAGGATCATCCTAGCTCCATACAGTATCGCTTGATGTTACTTTCCAGGGCAAAAAGAAATACTAGTCTAGGTGGCCCATAGATTTGACACAATAAGGCATTTCTTACACTTTTATGCATGAAGCCACAGCAGGAGAAAGTCAATGACACTGTAGGCCCAAGAGGATGAACTCATTGCAGGAGAGGCAGCTGGCATGGCTTCACCTATAATTGCTGCCAGACCACATATACTTTAAAAACATGTGCAAAAGTTATAATGCGATAGGCATACATATTGAAGAACTTCTTCTGCCCTTTAGAGCATTGAAGCTAAATTCAGAATTGTTTCTGTCACATGCCAGTAGCTGTAACTACTGAAGATTTTGGAAAAGTTCCCTTGCTGTTCTCCCCTACACACAGCTCCTGTCTGTAACACTCCCACTCTGGAGGAACTCTATGATGTCACCAGGCTTTGTCCCTGTTATAGTATGAACTTCTCCACAAAACTTGCAACAAAACAAGCTCAAGTTATGGCTTCATAAAGGAGGTATTTAACAATGACATGCCTGTCTCTTTCTCACAGTATTAGAACACAGAATTTTAAAGGAAAAATCTATCATTTGCTAGCACTCAAACACATGCTGGCCTCCTCTGAGCACAACAGATTTCACCTGCTTCCTTCCTTTTCTTTTCAGATCCCACAGCTGTGACAGACATGTTACTAACACAGAGCATATGTGCCACATATCCCTTTATCTTCCTCTCTCCATTTCTGCACCCCTGAAAGGAAATAGAGCTGGGCAGAGTCAACCGGATGTATGCAAGGCCCCGTCAAAGAATCATGAGACCGGAAGGATTGACATATCTACTGCTGATCCTAGTCACCTCTTTTTCCAAAATTTTTCATAATCACATATGTACTTATATACTATCCATCCCAAAGCCTTCTGGAGCACAGAATTTGCCAGATTACTTTAATTACTGGCTCAACTGCAGCGGTCGCTAGTCTAAACCTAATCAAACTACTGACCCAACTTCATATAATTGGTCAGCAGGGGGATTTCTGAGTATGCCTGTGACTTCCCAGGAAGCCAGACAAGAAAGATTGATCTAATTTCAGTGGAGCCCACTCCTTTCTCAGATCTGAGGAAACATCTGTTTCCATTTTCTCTGAAGCCTACCAGGCCAGTAGAAAGGCACAACATTTTTCATCACCAAAATCTAAAAAAATATGACCATACACTAGCTCATTTCTCAGCATTACAAATTTAACCAGAAATCATAGTGTATAACACAAGAAGCCAAGCACTGCCCTAGAGTGACAGAGATTTTATCTAGCTCCTGCTTCAGTGGCAACTGGACAGCTGAAATTTGTCCCAAAGTATTTACTTGATAGCAAGATTAGTTACACTGGTCCAGTTGCTTAGAAAAAGAGTCATTGGAAATTACAACAGGAAAGAACCTATTAAAGCCACCCATTTCCTCCACCAAGTATCATAGAGGTGTAACCCACTCTGTACCCTTAGACAGAATCCATTCAGCAAGGTTGCCCTGAGATAGCAGAGACCTGGTCTGGATGTTGGAAGTCCAGTCCTGGACTAGAATCCTTCCAGTGGAAGTGAACAGTGAACAGTGTCAACCATGAACAGTGGAAGTGAACTGCGAACAGTGTCTTCTAACACTGAGAGCAACAAATAAGAGAGTTGGGTTCTCAGCATTACAAAACAGTTGATCACTTTCTCACAAGTGAGAAAGCTATTAATGAGATGACCTCCCTCCAATGGCCTAAAAAAAAAGTAATAATCACAAAATTATATGATCCTAAAGTCATTCCGGTTGTGGTAAAGGGAGAGCCATGTAAAAATATTCCTAAAAACAAACAAACAATGAAATGGGACAGAGACACAAGAAGACATTAGAGTGTGTTGAGAATAACCCGGCTTTGGCACCAGATATCAAATTCATTCCTTGGCATTGGACATCAAGCAGGAAAGTTACTGCTTACAGAGGCTGACAGAAGTTGCAGTGATGGGAACTTATCTCTAAATTTCAAGTTTTGTAGATTCTAAATTAATCTAGGCCCATTTTTAGGAATTGTTTTACTTTTCATTGTCCTGTGGGAAAATCATGTGATCCTGCACATTTTCATTCCTGACCACTAGATGTCACTCATCCCATTTCAGTTTCATGTCCACGACCACGGTAAATTTTCCCGGGGGAAAAAAGCTAAATAATCACGACGGAGAAACAAACTGTCAAATAGGGCACAAAGTTTTTCCCAAACACAGCCTCTTTGTAAGCATGAAGTAGCTTTCAAATACACACAAGGTGTTTTGGAGCTGAAACTTAGATTCATCACTACCTCCAGTTGGAGAGAGTAAACAGATCATAATAATAAATAATGGCCAGTCTTCGCGAACGAAGATTTGGGGAAAGGTCTTTTACCTTTCCAGCCTGCGCAATGGATTTTTTTAGGTGAGACACAGCCTGCGCTGAACTGAGCCCACCCTTTAATCCTAAGGTTCATCTGCCGGGGCCAAGCAAGCTTGGACAATGGCAGTGAGGTCCTCAGGACGTAGGTTTGTTTAGAGTGACCTTCTCATAGATGGATGGCCTCACAGGGCTAACGAGCTCCATCTGCCCGGGGGACTGGGAATCGAACCTGGGTCGCAGCGGTGAGAGTCCCGCATGCTAACCACTAGGCCACCAGGGGTCCCCAAACAGATCAACTCCATAGTTGGAGGCACAGACTTATTAACAGTCCAAATAACTTCCAACTCAAACAGTATAAAGTGAACAACTTGGGTGGAAAGTAACATCTCTCAAGCCTCTGCAAAGTCCATTATACTCCCAGAGTGTGAGCCTTGATCCCTGCAGCATATTGCTTATCATAGAATGGTTTGGGTTGGAAAGGACCTTAGAGATCATCTAGTTCCAACCAATCACCATGGCAGGGACACCTTCCACTAGAATAAGTTGCTCAGAGCCCCATCCAACCTGGCCATGAACACTTCCAGGCATGGGGCATCCACAACTTCTCTGTTACAGTGCCTCACCACTCTCATAGTAAAGACTTTTTTCCTAATACCTAATCTAAAACTACCCTCTTTCAGTTTGAAGTCATTCCCCCTTATCCTATCACTACATACCCTTGTAAAAAGTCCCTCTCCAGCTCTCTTCTAGTCTCCCTTTAGGTACTGGAAGGCTGCTAGGAGTTCTCCCCAGAGCCTTCTCTCCTTCAGGCTGTACAGCCCCAGCTCTCTCAGCCTGTCTTCAGAACCCTCTGATCATCTTTGTGGCCTCCTCTGGACTTACTCCAACATGTCCACACCCTTCTTATGTTGGGGGCCCCAGAGATAGATGCTTTACTTCAAGTGGGATCTCACTCACTAGAACAGAGTAGAGGGGCAGAATCACCTCCCTCGACCTGCTGGCCATGCTGTTTTTGATGCAGCCCAGGACACAGTTGGCTTTCTGGGCTGCAAGTGCACATAGCTGGGACATGTCAACCTTCTCATTCATCAACATCCCCAAGTCCTCCTCTGGGCTGCTTTCAATCCATTCTTCCGTCAGCCTGTATTTGTGTTTGGAATTACCCCAATCCACATGCAGGTCCTTGCACTTGGCTTTGTGGAACTTCATGAGGTTCACACAGGTCTACCTCTCAAGTCTGTCAAGGTCCCTCTGGATGGCATCCCTTCCTTCCAGTGTGTTGACTGCACCACACAACTTGATGTCATTGGCCAACTTGCTGAGAGTGCACTCAACACCACTGTCCATGTCAGTGACAAAGATGTTAAACAGTGCCAGTCCAAATACAGACCCCTGAGGAACAAAACTCATCGCTGGTCTCCACTTGGACATTGAAATGTTGACCATAACTCTTTGAGTGCAACCATCCAGTCAATTCCTCATCCACTAAGTGATCTACCTATCAAATCCATGTTTCTCCAGTTTAGAGACAAGGATGTGTGACACTGTGCCAGACAGTGTCATATGTCTTGCAAAAGTCCATGTAGATGATGCCAGTAACTCTTCCCTCATCCACCATACAAAGCCACCAAATTTGTCAGGCACGATTTGATCCCCATGTTGGCCGTCACCAATCACCTCCCTATTTTCCATGTACTTTAGCATAGTTTCCAGAAGGATCTGCAGCATTGTCTTTCCTGACAATGAAGTGATAGTGACCAGTCGTTATTCTCCTGGGTCTTTCTTATTTCCTTCTTAAAATGGGGGTTGTATTTCTCCTTTTCTAGTCAGTGGGAACTTCACCAGACTGCCATGACTTCTCAAATATGATGAATAGTGGCTTAGTCACTTCCCTCACCAGTTCCCTCAGGCCCCACGCATGTATCTCATCAGGTCCCATGACCTTGTGCACCTTCAGATGCCTTAGTTGTTCTCAAACCTGATCTTCTTGTACAGTGGGTGGTTCTGCATTCTCTCAGTCCCTGCCTTTGTTGTCTGTCACTTGGGTGGTATGGCTGGAGCACTTGCCGGGGAAGACTAAGGAAAAAAAATCCTTTGAATACCTCAGCCTTCTCATTGTTCTGGGTAACCAGGTGTAGGAGCCAAAACCCAGCTGTCAGCAGAAAGGAGCTTGGTGGGTCTATGCAGTAAACCTTGGGCAACAGAGGCTGAGAGAAATCCCTGAATCTGAAAGACTGGACCTTCCTCACAAGACCTGTTGATGTACAACCATGTGGTTTAACCTGGCTCCTCCAGCAGGATAAGGAAGGACTTTGAGATGAAGTCATCAAACTGTGTTGAAACCCCTTTGCTTTCTTCCCTCCCATGTAGTCCTGGTTAAGGGAAATATTAATCAACTGTAGCAGAAACCTGTGTAATCCTCTAGTTAACATAAAGCCATCCCCTAATTAACATATCTCATCCAGCCCCCAAGACCCTTAAATTGCACTCGCGTGTTCAATGAAGTATTCCAGTTTCTACCTCCATATCTGGGATCGTCTTAGCTTTCTGGACCCTTATAACCAGGTCTCCTGCACCCTTCCAGAAAGGGCCCATGTTTTCCCTTATCTTTCTTTTACTGCCAGTGTTATCTATAGAAGCTTTCCTTGCTGTTCCTGATATCCTTGGACAGATTTAATTATCTCAGGGCTTTAGCTTTATTAACCAGATCCCTGGCTGCTCAGACAACTTCTCTGTATTTCTCCCTGCCCTTGCTTTCACCCTCTATAGGCTTTCTTTTTGTGTTTGAGTTTGTCTAGGGGCTCCTTGCTCATCCATGCAGGCCTCCTGGCATTTTTGCCCAACCTCTTCTTTGTTGGGATGCTTGGAGGAGGTGGTCCTTGAATATCAACCATCTTTCTTAGTATCCTCTTCCCTCTATGGCTTTATCCCACAGTACTCTACCAAGTGGATCCCTGAAGAGGCCAATGTCTGCTCTCCTGAAGCCCAGGGTAGTAAGCTAGATGTATGCCCTCCTTGCTGCCGCATGGATCTTGAACTCCACCATTCCACAGTCACTGCAGCCCAGCTGCCCTTGAGCTGCACCGTCCCCACCAGCCCTCCTTGTTAGTGAGCACAAGGTCCAGCATAGCACCTCTCCTCCATTGGCTCCTCTATCACTTAGAGAAGGAAGTGATCACCAATGCATTCCAAGAACCTCCTGGATTGTTTAAGCCTTGCCTGTGTTGTCCCTCCACTAGATGTTGGGGTGGTTGAAGTCCTTCATGAGAACCAGGGCTTGTGAACATGAGGCTGCTCCTATCTGTCTATAGAGGGCCTCGTCTGCTCGGTCTTCCTGGTTGGGTGGTCTGTAGCAGATCCCCACTATAACGTCACCTGTCCCTACCCTCCGTGTAATCCTGACCCATAAGCTCTCAATTACCTCCTCATCTATTCCCAAGATGACCTCCATGCACTCCAGCTGGTCGTTCACATGGAGGGCAACATCGCTTCCTTGTCTCCCCTGCCTGTCCTTCCTAAAGAGCCTGTATCCTTCCACTCCAACACTCCAGTCATAGGATTCATCCCACCACATCTCTGTGAGGACAATAAGATCATAGCCCTGCAGGCATGTGCACATCTCTAATTCCTCTTGTTTATTCCCCACACTGTGTGCAATTGCATAGAGGCATTTAAGTTGGGCACACACCACACCCCTACCCCAATGAAGCTAACTTACCTGCCATCCCTCTCCATATATCTTATAAGATATTCCCTTAGATAATGTACCTTGTCAGTCCACAGACAGCTAAAAAAATAATCAGCTCTTTGTACTACACCTTAACTTCGATGTAACCCCAAACCTACCTCCAAGATCTGCAGTGATAAAATCTCTCCTCTGTATGAACAGATGTCACTGTGTGTCATCAAGCATGTTCCATAGGATACCTACAAAAAATGAAATTAATTAGTGAGTGTGAAAGCATAATTACTAGATTAGCAGGTTTCAGCAAACCAGGGAACATGTAGCACAGTAAATTGGGCACAATAGGACCATGAAGTAGTAACAGCAAAGAGGGGGGAGGGGGGAATCAAGAACCAGGAGATTAACACTGACAAAAAGAATGCACCATTTCTTAATAGTAATAAACCCTTTTTTTCATTAAACTTTTTATCAATACAGATCAATACAGTCCTACTGATTGATGCATTCCTACTCTAACTGCAGTAAAGCAAATCAAGATGGAAGTCTGATCTACCAAAATTTTATTTGCATTTCCAACTGTGAAAAACAGTTTCCTTTGCATAACTAATCCTATTGCAAAATCAATCCCCTCCAAGCCTATCTTATTATAGGAATTAATCTACTTTCAAAAAAATATGGAAGAAGTTTTTCCATATGCACATAATTTTTATTCACTTAAAATTTATGTAGCCTAGAAACAAAATTAAAGCAGGTGTGCTTGCTGCTTAGAGAAAACTCACATTATGTTCCTGTTCTGTCAGTGTCTTCCTGTGTGATCTTGGACAAGTCATTTAGGGCATATTTCACCTCACAGCAGAGAACAATAGAGAGTGCTCTGAGCTGCAGATTCTCAAGCCAGGGAACACACATGGCACAGCACTGCTGCACCTGTGTGAACCAGAGTCAGTGCTGGTGTGTTCACATATCATTGCATGGAGGTGATTACCTGACTCATGAGGTCAGTGATCACCTCTGCTCATTTCACCTACAATAAAAGTACTTCCTGAAGTTCTTTATTTCATTTCTCCATTTGCAGAATGGGAAGAGTAGCACTTTTATGTTTCACAAAGATGCTGCAGGCATACAAACAAGAACACTTGGGAAGCATGGACAGAACAGAGTATCAGAGAGGAGGGAATAGAGCATAGAACTCTAAAATCCATGCAGCACTTGAAAGTTTCTTTCCTGCAATAACTTTATCCTAGGCTTCAGGAGAAAAAAAAATTACATCTATTACTACTAAATGACAAAGTTAGAAATTACTACTAAATGACAAAGTTAGAACTGAAGACACTAAGGAACCAGCTGTGAAGAGAAAACTGATCAGGACCAACTTGACTTAGAAAATTATAAAAAAATTCTTAAGGAAATACCTTTGCTGTTGGGAAGTGCCAGGTTATTGAAATTTCTTGAAGAAAAACAAATTTTTGCTAAGAAAGGTTACTCAGGTTCAAGGAAGATTTTCTGATCAAACCAAAAGGGAGAGGCCTTAATTTCAGAATACACTGACAATCTGTAGCATCAATGATAAGACAGATGAAAGTGCAAATTGCATGTATGACAAGGCTTGGCACACGGAATTGAATCTAAGGCTCCACATAAGTTTCTGACCTCAGTAGTCTGGGAGTAGTGTCTTTTGTATGTACAATTGAATGCTCACTCTGACCCATATAAGAAAAACATACTTTATAGACCAAGCTCAGCACACCTGTTTGGATGTGAGAAATGCTACATTTCAATTTCTATTTCACATGAAGCATTGTTGGGATTCAAAGCTGGGATCTGAGTTCTTCAAAAAACCTCAATAAATACCCCATGTTTTGGTGTATTCATTATTCTGGTTCCAGTTAAATCTTTTAGAAGTGTCTGTTCTGTACCAGTGTAGAACAGGAAAAAGGTTTTATAGGATCAAGTCTGTTTCCTCTCCATCTCTAGAAAAAAAATATCAGACAGACAGAAATGAAATTAAGAATTTTATTATAAAATTCTAGCTTTATCCAAAAGCTCACCGGAGAAGTTAATGAACTTTAAAGCAGGTACAACTATTTGCAATGATTTTTTTCTAGTGTAACTTTAGGTTTTAACAATGTCTGTTCAGCACTCATATAGCAGAAAGCTCTTACTCCTTTGCGATTGCTAAAACAAGAGTTTTCCACTCACTTCAGAAAACAAAGCCCCTTTTCCTTCCCAGCTAAGTAGAATGCTTTATACCTGTTAGCTGTTTGACGTCTTTTCAGTGAAGTTTGATGCAAGACCATATTAGTCTATGATCTTTCCTGTAGGCTCCCTTTCAGTACCTAAAGGAGATTGGCTAGAAGAGAGCTGGAGAGGGACTTTTTACAAGGGCACATAATTACAAGATAATAGGGAGTGGCTTCAAGCTGGAAGACTAAAGGTTACAGGTTCGTTGTAATCAAGTAAAAGAAGCTTTGCTACTATCTGCAGAGATAGTCCTGATTAGAGCCAAGGCAAGAGAAAATTTAGGGGCAAAGGTAGAATTCCCACTTGGGGCAAAGATCTACTGTAGCATATGCATACTGCTCAGCACTACACTGATCTCATCAGGGTTTCTGCACAGCAAAGAATTTCACATAAAGACATTTGTTATGAGTAGGCTAAAGGCAGTACTATAAGCTGGAGAAAACTAAACACAAAGAAAGGAAAAAACACACAAACACCACTTAAACAGTGAGTTTCAACACTCTAACTGAAATAAAAAAGAAAAAAAGAAAAACCAAACAACAAATCAAACACTTGAAAAAGGCAGTTCACTTAATATGTAAAAAGTGTAATAGAAAGCAAAAACTGACACTGAGCCACTGTGCTCTGGTGTTCCACCCTGATATACACCATTTCTCTCATTTAAGTGCAGCAACTGGAATCAAAGAGGCTGTTTGTATGAGTAAAAGTCATTCACAGAAGCTAGCTGCTTACTTCAGCATCAAGAGAATCTTTCAAATAGGCAAAAACTTCCCACCTTCAGTAGTCAATACATTAGGCCAGTGATTCTCAGGCACAAAAGAAAGGGTCATAAGGGATTTTAGCAGGTCATATAGGTTCTCTCCCCTCCTCTCAAAAGCATGATCAACTCTAACCAAATCATGGAATCATTTAGATTGGAAAAGACCCTTAAGATTATTGAGTCCAACTCTAATGATTCCTGACTGATGGCTGATGAACAATGCTTGAAACACTTCAATGATATGGACCCTGTATTTTGCTGAGGACGTTTATTCCAGTCTTTCACTGTCCCCTGCAAAGTTTTGTCTAATGTATAACCTGACTCTTTCACATAACATTTTAAAGATATATTATTTCTTGTCCCATATATCCTAGAAGTGTAAGACATACCTCTTTTTCAGGAATATTTTTATATCTAAAGACTGTACCATCTCAGGCTTCTCTTCCACTAGACTTAACAAAGTCAGCTCCCCCACTTATTCCATACAAAACCCAAGGTTTCATGTAAATATGTTCATAAAACATAAGTACTGTGAATCCAAATTAACACCATATCTCATGTAATGATTTTGCATAGAGAATTTGCGACTAAAAAGCTGTACAAGTTTCTTCCCCATCCTTCCACTGAGCACAGCAACTCTGCTAACTTGTCAGGTCAAGGCCATCCTGGACTCCACCATGACATCCCTCCCAGCCCATTTCTCTCTGCAATGGGATTTAGCTAGACACTGCAGGGCCCAGACACAGTCAGGCAGCTGCAAACCTCACTTCCTGCCCTTCTGCTCCTCACCTCCTCTCTTACCCGGTAGAGTCAAGCCTGAATGAAAATATGAGAATCTGCCAGAATTTTCCTACAGATTTCCAACAGGTGCAAAGGAATCTGTGAGACGTAGGAATTCTTCTTGGTAAAAAGAGACCTTACAAAGTATGTTACAAGCTATCCAGGGTGATACAGAGGCACTGAATGTCTCAATGGCAAAGTTCCGAAAAATCAGTTTAGAAAAACTACAGGTGCTTTTGAAAGAAGCATTCCAAAGACACAGAGAATTAAACAGAATTAATATGTTAAAAACACTGAAAGAACTTCAATGGATTTAGATAATAGCTTCAAAGCTAAATAAACTCTGGGAAATAGAGTCAGAAACATGCTGATTTGTCACATGAGGTTTTTCACAGAGCTCTTTCAAGAATACAGAAAAGGGAACCCACTCTGAAACAGTTACAAAAAAGGAAGTTAGTGGCACAGAGAAGAAGATCACAAAGAGTTAGGCCAAGGTCAATAAAGACAGCACAATCCCTACTCATGCTCTAAGCAACATTCAGTGTTTCATAGAATCATTTAGGTTGGAAAAAATCCTTAAGATCATTGAGATGTTCCAGTTCACACTAGGAAAACGTATGTTAACTAAACAGTGGCCTAAAATCACCATAAAGAAAAAGAAATCTCCACTAAGTGTTCGAATTGCTCCTATGCAAGTTCACGAAGACACTGTATTTGAAGATAAAAAAAAAAAGACAAAAAGCAAAAGAATAGCATAACAACAAATGATTGTCAGAAGTAAAAAAATTAAATATTAATCAAAATGTAAAAGACAATATAAAATGAAGTCAACAGTATCACTCACCACTCTTGTTCACAAAAACTAATTTTGGATCCTCTCTAGTAAAGACAAAATTCCCAGTTCACACTGAAGAACAGAGAGAATTTATTTTTCTAGTGCAGTCTACACCACTTTCATACTTTTATCAAATATAAGTTCTGCCTTGATTTCAATTCTTTACCAATGTTATTTATTTTTTCACTAACAGCAAAACTTAACTCTGTCTTAACAAAATTTCACCCATTTAAACCATTCTCAGGAGTGATACACACAGAGTTTCTGCATAGTCTTCCTCTACAGAGCATAGGCAAATGAAAGATTTATGCTCTTATTTAACAAAAATTGTATGATCTTCTGGTCTCTCATCATCCTAGCCACAATAATGTGCTGCCAGAAATTAAAGGCAGTGTTTAAAGCCCACTATGCAGCCTGCACTGCGGGTAACAGCATCTGTGGTGTAGGGACAGGAAGGTATATGCAGAAGATTTATTTGAGGAGAATAAAGAGTTCTTGCTTGAGGAAGTTTTCACTGCTAGGAAAACTAGGCCGGGGAAAAGATCGGTACAGGAAAATCCCATTTATTACACCCATGGATGTTTATTATCTGCCTGTTTTGAGAATTAGGATTCCTGTGTAAAGATAATATGCTGTGAGGTCCTTGCTGAGAGAAAGAGGATCCATAAAAGAACAGAGGAGAACACGGCCTTGAAGTTATGTGCATGCGAAAGGTATTGTTATAAAAGCACCAGAAAACAGGCCTGGGGGCACTCTTTCACCCACTGTGTGATTTTAGTGGTGTATTTAGGGTTTCCAACTTTGAAATAAACTTTTCCTTAATATCTTAGCCATGGTTTGGTATCTGGGTTTACCTGCGTGTGTAACAGTTCTCACACACAGCAAGGAAGCACAAGCTGTGCAGAAAAGGAAGTGAAATCTCTGTCCTCTGCTGTCACGTCAGTTGCTTTCAGTCCCCACTGCAGGGACTGGCTTACTTGGCATGGTTGTGCTCTCCCTTTTTCAGCTAAACAAAGCTTAGTGCCATGGCATTACCTTATAATACTGATACTCTGCTGCTGCCCAATTATTTGAGTGATGGTAAGAAGGGAGGGGCGCTGCCTAATAATTAACCAATACAAACTGAAGCAAAAATCCCTTAATAAACCTTAATTTGTGGCCTGCTGATGTTTATCAGCTACATTTCCTCCAATTGAGATTCAAGAATATATTTTAAGACACTAAACATACAAGCATTGTATTTCACTTCTACTAAAATATTTTTATTTTTAAGAAAGAATAATTGCTAGTGTCAAAAATGCCAACTGATCTTTACAAAATCTCTGGCTGCAAGTCAGGGTTATTAGCATTTCCCTGTTACAGGTAGAAAAGCACAAGTACAGAAGGCAATGTGAACTACCATCTTGAATTAGTGCTGGAGCTTTGAATCAAAACGAGTGTCCTTGCTTCTACAGGCAGCTGTGCCTAGTTTTAGCCAGGGAAGGCAATATGGCTCTAAAAGAAGCATTTAAAATCTCGGCACCCTGTTCTTTCCCCAGTGCTGTTACTGGAAACACACCTGCCACTCAATCACAATGCAGATGATGTCCCCCATTATGCCTGTGCCATTACATGACTGGTACCCTTCCAGTCCCATGTCTGTAGAGGAACTGAGGAGCACTGGGGCTGAAGGGACCGAGGACATGGGAGCTTATGAACTGTTCTTACAAAATGCATCCATTCAGAGGATGTAGATTTATTCCTGACCCAGGCTTTGCTGCCTCTTTAGATATAAGGAGTCAACTTCTACCAACCACCACTTGCACACAGGTAAAAGACAAAAGTAATAAAAACTGTAAAAACCTTATTGAGGTGATAAATCAGCAGTGCTTAAGGTCTCCATTCAAGAGAAAATCCTTATTCAGAGACATATATGTTTGGGTATTGCAGAAGTTAACAAAGGCTGCATGAAGTGATGCTGGTGATTAGTTTCAAAGAGAGAAGGAAGAAGCAGGGATACGCATTTAGCTTGCTTTTCCTAAAGGAAATCAACATTTCAGCATTTGGGGCAATGTTGAGCTTGACAGAAATACTCCATTCAAGCATTTTGCCTTCAGAAATGATCTCATGTGAAGAACAGCACACAGAACACTACAGGAGAAGTAACATTTCTCTCTGCAATCCTCTACCAGGCTCTGTAAAGGTTATACCCAGTTCCCAGGACACATCAAATCCCATGGCAACCGGGATGTATTTCCCCTCATTTCCCACGACCTTTTGTTTGGAGCTCTAAAAGCAAGTATTTCAAGATGCCCTACAGAAGGTTCCTCGGCAGCTGACCTGGTAATTTGTACATATTTCTTGTACTTGGTGCTTAAGGTACAGAACAATTTTATGCCAGAGCTTTCAAAATGGACTCACAGGGTAGTGAGAAAATATAGTCAGCAGTCCTGTCCATGGAAAGACATAGCCCGGCTCTTACAGGTGAGGACACAACCATTGTACCAGGTACACACTGGAGGACAGGTTTACAAATCTCCTGCATCTTGTGGAGAACCTCCCATCAGAGTTCATGCTTCTCAGCACTTCAAGAGAACAAACCCAGGCGATGAAGCCAGAGCAAAACACTCGATCTTTAACTTCTAGTGGACCTCCAGAGTTTAGGGATAGTGCATGTTATCTCTTCCCAGGAAGAAATGCCCTGCTCGGTCCCTCCCTTGGGAGGGACACTCTACGCCTTGCACACCCCGATACCAGCAGCACGGTTCCCCCCAGGGAGAGGTGCATCCTTCACCATTGCTTTGTGCCACAGGAACATCCCAATACCCTCACCACCCCTCACTGCTTCCCACCTGGCAATTTCATCCCAGCTCTCCTGTTCCTCAAAGCTACCTTAACACGGAAACCTGCCCCTGGCTCCCCGCGGTACTTTACTGTCCAGCGGGACCACCTCCTGGACCCCTCCGGCCGCCCGGCCCGACCGTCCCTTACCCCCCCGCACCCCGACCACAGACCCCGGCGAGCAGCGTTCGGTGAGTGACCTCTGCCCCTCACGGCGACCCCTAAGCCGTCGCTTCATGGCCCCGCCCCAGCCTCCCCCCAGGACGCGCTCCCGGCCTCCCGCCCCGCCCCCTTATCGCCTGGCCACAGACGGCTCCCTTATCGCCCTCATCTGCTTATCGCCCGCGGGCAGCATCACCGCTGCCCGCCCCTCGTCAGCGGCAGCCCGGCTGCGGTACAGCGATGGGCACCCGGCGCCGCCCGGCCCGGGGCGGAGCGGGGCGGAGGGGAGCCCAGCCCAGCCCAGCCCAGCCCAGCCCGCCCCGCCCCGCCCCGCGCGGGGGCTTTGTTACCCCGCATGCAGCCCCCGCCCGGGACGTGGCTGTGCCCGCCCGCCCCGCGCAGCGCCCGGGAGGCGGCGCGGCGGG